CCATCATCTCCCCGTGCTGCGTCTCTTTATGGGAATCTGAGGTTCTGTTCTGTGCTTGTCTTTCATCTATTGCTCCACATGTATGTAGCAAATTCCAAATAGTGTCCTGCTCCTCGAGCATGTGACCTGACTCAATGAACCGGATGTAAGAGAATGAAACGGGAGGCTTTCTCTCCTTCACTCTAAAAGGGAGCAGTTAGCCACAGGAAGAGGGCAGTGGCCAGTGGAGCAGCATCCTCCCACTATCCTGGATATGCCCACAGCTAAGACTCCAGGCAAATCTGGGATCTAGCACCAACCTGGACTGGCTAATTTACTACCTGCAAACACAAAGCTCAATAAACACTTGCCGTTCAAAGCTCCTAACACACATATGTTTTGAAGTAAAAGGCAAAACTTCTACAATGTTAACACTAGAGGCTTCAGAATTACTTTTATAGCTGCCACCTTCCATTTGGAACAATTCATTCAGATTTCTCTGCCCCTAAAACACCTTCTGACTGTCTTTGAGAAATAAAAGATTTAAGAAATACAGTAGCAACTACTCAAGAGATTCACGTATTGAACTTTCACCTGAAATCTATCCCACTGAACATCTCAGGCGCTCAGTATTGAATAAAACCCTGAGCACGGATGCAGACTGCCGCGTTAGTTAGGTCATCTAAGAGCACCTCCTTTGTAATTATCCACTGGGATCTCTTTTATTTTATTTTTTTCTTCATGATTTAATTTTTTTTCAAGTCAAATTGGTAGGACAGTTTCAATAATTAACACATTGCATACATTCTTCCTAGTGGTTAATTGCTGTACAAGATGCGGACATGAAATCCTATTTACAAACACTATTACAGCAAATCCCTCTATTCATTAAGAGAATGTTACTATATACCTATCCTAACCATTTTGAATACACACATAAAAAATGGACATTCATCTGTATACCCTTTTTCTTAAGTTCCGTTATTTGAGTATTATAGGTGTGTAAACTCAGCAAAATATTCCAAAAGAGTCCAGTAGCCCATAATAGTATTGAGACTTCCCCTTAACTGGCAATGTCAGAAATTGTTGACCTGAGTCCCCTACAGTTCAACATAACAGCATGGATTTACTTCCTATATTTCGTTCTCATACTTTTCTGCTGGATGGTTAAG